ATAAAACAAGGTGAAAGCTGAAAGGTATGTAATGAAGCCTTTATTAGATTGAGTTTGTAAATCCCAGAAATGAGTGGAAAATGCAAAGCAAACCCAATTAAAACCAATAATTTGATATACATCATGATATTTTTCTAGGGGGGGGTAAAAAAATTTCTAGGGGGGGGTAAAAAAAATTTCGGCGCGCTTCGCGCGCTAAACTCAAATTTTTTACCCCCCCCTACAGAATCCTTATATCCGCCCCTGACTGTCATATCGATCCCTCATGTTAAAACAATTGATTTTTTCTGTCTGTCGCTCAGCAAAACTTGATTGATTCTCAAATATAAGACATACTTTCACTTAATTTACTGCTTACATTCACAGAATGCCGAAGAAAATTTGCTGCGTAGAGTCTACTACCATTATTTAACGTTTACCCAGAAATTTCGCCACACCGGCTCGAATCATAATTTTGATGTTCTGTTCAGATTGACTCCGGGAATGAGGAAATGAACGTTGTTGTTGCTGAACTGATAGCCAGTGATTTACTGGCAGATCCGCATGGTGGAATTGCTTTGAAAACATTTCACAGGTTTTTGGCCTACAACATGGAATGGATTGGACAGGTGCAGTTTTTAATAAAAAATTAAAACCTGTTTAAAAAAATACAAAGCTCTAAAATGTATCAGTTAAAATACCTATATATTAAGCTTTCTTATTTGTTTTTATTACTTTATCATTTATTTGATCAGATCAGACAGGTTCTTTAATAAAGATTTTTCTTATAAGGTCGGTAAAATTTTGTAATAAAGATAGTCGGGCTTGTTGTCTAATGATAACAGCTAGGAAATAGAAAATTTTAAAGGTTGTGTTTTTTATATAAAGATGTTTATTACTTTTTATCTTTAACTCTACATCAAAAGAAACCCAATTTATTACTTTTTAATAAATCTTCATCTAATCATGTTCATCCCTAAAACAGGTTGTCCATGAATCAACATATTTGTTGTACTATGTGTGTTCGAAAAAAACGACATTTGAAAATTTCTTTTAAAACTGTGTTACTATGGGCTGTTAAGGAGTGTATGTGATAAGTAGGATAAAATTGATTTATATCCAATAATTCACCTCTATTGATATAATATCATCCCTATATTTAGCTTTGACATATTCTGAAAATTCAAATATGACATTTTCTCTAAATATTTTATAAAAAAACATTCTTTTATTAAAATTGTACAGCTTCTTTGAAAAACAGGATCATACATGTTTTTTAATTGAGACAGTGGCCGAATTTAAAGAATTTGAGCGGCGGTTTAAATTTAAGCCACGGCTTAAATATGGCTGGTTCCACTTAAAATTGTATTTAATGTTTCAAGATTTAAGCCGGCGCTTAATTTAAACCGGGTTTTGGCAGATTTAAACCGCGGCTCAAATTCTTTAAATTCCATCTCAGGTTCTCGGTGTACAGCTGGGGGGCCCAACCCCCGAAAATGATGTGAACACAAAAACAAATTTCAGGAAACTTGTTAATTTTGTTTAATATTTTTCTCCGTCAAATTGACTTCTAAAAAAACATGTTAACAACTCAAATTAATATAAACATTTTCTCATATTTCAAAATCAATTATGGTATTATCATGTCAGAAAAGAACAGAACTGCTTAATTTAATTTTATAAAAAGAAGATAGTCACGTACCTTGTTGTTCTCTTTTTATTGATACAATAGTTTTATTTATTATTTTTCTATTACGTTGATTTCTTATTAAAAAGTTTGTGATTGATTGGTTGAATTTCAGGTTTGGTTTGGTTTCAGGATTGGTTTTGTTTAATTTCAAGTTTCGTTTAGTTTAATTTCAGGTTTGGTTTGGTTTAATTTCAAGTTTGTTTTGTTTTAATTTCAGGATTGGTTTAGTTTCAGGATTGGTTTGTTTAATTTCAAGTTTGGTTTGGTTTAATTTCAGGATTGGTTTGTTTAATTTCAAGTTTGGTTTGGTTTAATTTCATAATTGGTTTGTTTAATAAAGTTTGGTGTGGTTTAATTTCAGGATTGGTTTGGTTTAATTTCAGGATTGATTTGGTTTATTTCAGGATTGGTTTGGTTTAATTTCAGGTTTGGTTTGGTTTAATTTCAGGATTGGTTTGGTTTAATTTCAGGATTGGTTTGGTTTAATTTCAAGATTGGTTTGGTTTAATTTCAGGATTGGTTTGGTTTAATTTCAAGTTTGGTTTAGTTCAATTTCAGGTTTGGTTTGGTTTACTTTCAAATTAAGGTTTAGTTTGATTTCAAGTTTGGCTTCGTTTAATTTTAAGTTTTGTTTGATTTAATTTCATGTTTGATTTAGTTTCTTTTCAAGTTTGGTTTACTTCAATCTTTAAGTTTGGTTTGGTTTAATTTCAAGTTTGTTTTGTTTTAATTTCAGGATTGGTTTAGTTTCAGGATTGGTTTTTTTAATTTCAAGTTTGGTTTGGTTTAATTTCAGGATTGGTTTGTTTAATTTAAAGTTTGGTGTGGTTTAATTTCAGGATTGGTTTGGTTTAATTTCAGGATTGATTTGGTTTAATTTCAGGATTGGTTTGGTTTAATTTCAGTTTTGGTTTGGTTTAATTTTAGGAATGGTTTGGTTTAATTTCAGGATTGGTTTGGTTTAATTTCAGGATTGGTTTGGTTTAATTTCAGGTTTGGTTTGGTTTAATTTCAGGATTGGTTTGGTTTAATTTCAGGTTTGGTTTGGTTTAATTTCAGGATTGGTTTGGTTTAATTTCAGGATTGGTTTGGTTTAATTTCAGGATTGGTTTGGTTTAATTTCAGGATTGGTTTGGTTTAATTTCAGGATAGGTTTGGTTTAATTTCAAGCTTGGTTTAGTTCAATTTCAGGTTTGGTTTGGTTTACTTTCAAAGTGTGGTTTAGTTTAATTTCAAGTTTGGCTTCGTTTAATTTTAAGTTTTGTTTCATTTAATTTCATGTTTGATTTAGTATCTTTTCAAGTTTGGTTTACTTCAATCTTTAAGTTTGGTTTGGTTTAATTTCAAGTTTGGTTTGGTGTATAGGATCACTCCATGGGGTTACTTGGTGTACAGGAACAAGAGCTGCTATGATATGATAGCAAACATTGGTAAGTTTAAGAACTGTCTGTGTTGTATCCAGTTACTTTTTTGTTTAACATTAGTGCACCGTTGTATTATTCCGAAACATTTAAGTTTTCAGAATATTTTTCATGTTGAATGATTTTTTGACGTAGCACATTTTGAGAAAACGTTATCCTTTCTAATATCAACGATCTTTAGGATGGATATTGTTGGAGAAAACGTTTTCCTTTCTAATATTAATGCTCTCTAGTAGGGTTACTGTTTAAGAAAACGTCATCTTATCTAATACAAACGCTCTCTAAGTGGAGTACTGATTGTGAAAACGCTATCCTATCTATTATCAACGCTCTTTAAAAGGGGTACAGTTTGAGAAAACGTTATTCTTTCTAATATAAACGCTCTCTAGGAGGGTTACGGTTTGAGAAAACGCTATCCTATCTAATATAAAATCTCTCTAGAAGGAGTACTGTTTGAGAAAACGCTTTCCTATCTAATATAAAAATCTATCTAGAAGGAGTACTGTTTGAGAAAACGCTTTCCTATCTAATAGCAACACTCTCTAGGAGGAGTAGTGATTAAAAAAACACTATCCTATCAAATATCAATGCTCTCTAAGTGGAGTACTGGTTAAGAAAACGTTATCCTATCTAAAATCAACGCTTTCTAGAAGAAGTACTGTTTGAAAAAATGTTATCGTATCTAATATAAACGCTCTCTAAGTGAAGTACTGATTGAAAACCGCTATCGTATATAATATTAACGCTCTCTTGGAGGAGTACTGCATGAGAAAACGTTATCCTTTCTGATATAAATGCTCTCTAAGTGGAGTACTGATTAAAAAACCGTTATCCTATCTAATATCAACGCTCTCTAGGAGGGGTACTGTTTAAAAAAGTTATCCTTTCTAATATTAACGCTCTCTAGGGGAGATACTGTTTCAGAAAACGTTATCCTTTCTAATATCAACGCTATCTAGGGGGTACTTTTTCAGAAACGTTATCCTAACTAATATCAACGATTTCTAGGAGGGGTGTTGTTTGAGAAAACGCTATCATATCCTGTAGATTGGGAATCTGCACTTAGGTAAACAAAACAGTTGTACTAGTTGATTATGAACCAAAATAATTCGTCAAATTATTATTTTTAGCGGTTTAAACAATGTTTGAATGAAACTATTCAATTTTTCATTTGAAAAAAGGTTACAGCTTAATTATCATAATTAGTATAGAAGAAGTATCTAAAAAAATTGTTGTACAATAATTAAACATTAAGCTGAAACCATCTTATTTTTCATTCCATGCTGATTGATAACAGTCCGTTTATGTGTAAGTGGTAACTTGTAAAGACTTGTATAACAACCGAATATTATGTTTATCGATTTACTTTAAACATTGTATGATAAATCTGTGACATATTAATAGATTTAGCCATATTAGAAAAGATATTATATCTCAGTAGGAAAAAATGTAATTACAAAAATTCTGCGGAAAATGAAATAATTCTTTATTTTATCATACTTTTCATAAAGACATAAAAAGATTAAGACTTTTTTCTAAACGCCTGCATGCAATTTTGCTATTAGATTAATTCATGCACCTTTACCGGGGTTATTTCTATATTTAGCAGAATGGCTACGGAGCCTGTTTGATCCCTCAGTTTTTTGGCTTTCCGGTGGTTGCAAACTTTACAATATTGAACCATATTATTCCGTCCAACTTTGCTTTTGTTGCATTTTCTGAAACTCTTATTTTGCGAAACTCGTCGAGGAAAATGATTATCTTTAACTCGCCGCGGTTCTAAGGTTGACTTCTCAATTTCGGGTGCAATTATAAGATAGAAAATTGTCAGAATTTAACGCTTGTTGTGAATAGTAGGACAATAATCAAAATACTTTCGTAAATTGGACATGTCACTCTATAAATGAAAATTCACATAAATTATGTACTTATCCAGTTCTTAAGATAGACCAAGAAAATAAGGAACAGCTCTTAATGAATATTTAGTACGGGACATTTTATACTTTTTAATTTAATTCTTCTAACTAATCATTTTATATAAGACATGTGCAGGAAGCTCCGGAACCTTTAGTTTCTTTACTATTATCCAGGTATTTACAGTGTAATTTCTTTACTATCATCCAGGTATTTACAGTGTAATTTCTTCACTATTATCCAGGCATTTACAGAGTAATTTCTTTACTATTATCCAGGTATTTACAGTGTAAATTCTTTAATATTATCCAGGTATTTACAGTGTAATTTCTTCACTATTATCCAGGTATTTACAGAGTAATTCCTTCATTATTATCCAGGTATTTTCAGAGTAATTTCTTCACTATTATCCAGGTATTTACAGAGTAATTTCTTCACTATTATCCAGGTATTTACAGAGTAATTTCTTCACTATTATCCAGATATTTACAGAGTAATTTCTTCACTATTATCCAGGTATCTACAGAGTAATTTCTTCACTATTATCCAGGTATTTACAGAGTAATTTCTTCACTATTATCCAGGTATCTACAGAGTAATTTCTTTACTATTATCCAGGTATTTACAGTGAAATTTCTTTACTATTATCCAGGTATCTACAGAGTAATTTCTTCACTATTATCCAGGTATTTACAGAGTAATTTCTTCACTATTATCCAGGTATCTACAGAGTAATTTCTTTACTATTATCCAGGTATTTACAGTG